TTTATGGTTTCAGGTCTTACATTTAAGTCTTTAATCCATTTTGAATTTGTTCTTGTATATGGTGTAAGTAGGTGGTCCATTTTCATTTTTTTGTATGTGTCAGTCCAATTTTTCCAGTGCCATTTATTAAATAGACTATCTTTACTCCAATGTAAATTCTTGGTTCCATTGTCATAGATTAAATGACTGTATATGGATGGGTTTATTTCTGGGCTCTCTATTTTATTCCATGGGTTTATGTGTCTGTTTTTATGCCAGTACCATACTGTTTTGATTACTGTAGGCTTGTAGTATGATTTGATATTGGGTAGTGTGATACCTCCCACTTTGTTCTTATTTCTCAAGATTGCCATGGCTATTCGGGGTCTTTTATGGTTCCATATAAGTTTTAGGGCTATATGTTCTATTTCTGAGAAAAATGTCCTTGATAGGAATTGCACTGAATCTATATATTGCCTTAGGTAGTAATTGACATTTTAACTATATTAATTCTTCCTATCCATGAACATGGTATGTATTTCCACTTATTTGTATCTTCTTCGATTTCTCTCTTTAGTGTCTTATAATTTTCTGAGTACAGGTCTTTTACTTCTTAGGTTAAATTTATTCCTAGACATAAGCCAGACTCACCAAGAAAAAGAGAGAGAGGACCCAAATTAATAAAATTAGAAATGAAAGAGGAGAAGTGACAACAGATACAATGTAAATACAGAAAATTGTAAGAAAATACTATGAGCAACTATATGCCAACAAATTTGACAATCTGGAAGAAATAGATAAATTTCTAGAAGCATACAATCTACCAAGTCTGAACTAAGAAGAAACAGAAACTCTGAATAGACTGATTACTACCAAAGAAATTGAATCAGTAATCAACAAGCTTCTAATAAACAAAAGTCCTGGACCAGATGGCTTCACAGGCGAATTTTACAAAACATTCGAAAAATAATTAATACCTATTCTCTTCAAACTATTCCAAAAAATACAGAAGAAGGGAAGGCTCCCAAGCACATTTTATGAGGCCACTGCTACTCTGATCCCAAAATCAGACAAAGGTATTACAAAAAAAGAAAACTACAGGCCGATATCCCTAATGAACATAGATGCAAAAATCCTCAACAAAATACTAGCAATTCAGCGTCACATTAAAAAGATCATACACCACAATCAAGTGGGGTTCATTCCTGGTATGCAAGGTTGGTTCAATATCTGCAAATCAATTAATGTAATACATCACATTAACAAAATGGAAAATAAAAATCATATGATCATATCAATAGATGCAGAAAAAGGATTTGAAAAATCCAGCAGCCTTTTATGATAAAAACTCTTAGCAAAGTGGGAATAGTGGGATCATATCTCAACATAATAAAGGCCATATATGATAAGCCCACAGCAAACATCGTATTCAATGGGGAAAGGCTAAAAGCTTTCCCCTTAAGATCAGGAACAAGACAAGACTGCCCACTTTCACCTCTCCTATTCAACATAGTTCTGAAAGTTCTAGCCACAGCAATCAGGCAAAAAAATGAAATAAAAGGCATCCAAATTGGAAAGGAGGAAGTAAAATTGTCATTATATGTAGACGACATGATACTACATATAGAGAATCTCAAAGACTCCACCAAAAAACTGTTAGAACTGACAAATGAATTTAGTAAGGTAGCAGGATACAAAATTAATATTCAAAAATCAGTTGTATTTATATACACCAAAAATAAACTATCAGAAGAAGAAATCAGGAAATCAATCCCTCTTATAATTGCTTCAAAAACGATTCTGAACTTATTTTAGAAGAACATTTACATTACCTTAAATAGGATGGAAATTTTATGTGCTAAAGATTTATGAAATAGTTCAAGAACTTATAAAAAGAAACACTGGACAAAGCACTGTATGTACATTATAAGAATTTTAAATATAAAATTGTACCCAAAACAATAGGAAAACATTCAGTGAAACTGAAAGATGGAATAAAAAGAAAACAAAACAAAAAAACCAATGCAAATATATATAAAGGGCTTATCTGATTTTTTTAGCATAGCTTTAATATTTTTTTAATTACAGTTGACATTCAATATTTTATATTAGTTTCAGGTATACAGCATAGTGGTTAGACATTCATATAATTTATGAAAGGATCCTCCATTAAGTCTAGTACTCACGTGGCACTATACATAGTTATTACAATATTACTGATTGTATTCCCTATGGACTTATCTAATTAATATTAAGTATACTACTTTAAAAAGCTAGTTTTTAATAATTAAAAAAATTTTCTTCACATTTCTTACTTCTGTAGCAGCAAGTTAATTTTCACTATTCTTTGTCAAGAATTATTATTTTAGTAGGTTAGGGTTCTTAAATTTGGAAGTCAGCTTTGAGATTATCTGGTGTGCTCTCTCTATTTTATAAATGTGAAAACTGATGTAAGATAGGTGAAATGACTTGCTTGCTGGTGATCAGAAACAACTAACTGCGTTCATGGCTAGGATCATGATTTTCTGACTCAACTTCATTGTTATGAATATTATGCTCCCCAGAAAAAACCAAGTAGAATTTGTAAGAGAAAATCACATTAATTTCCCATTTTATAGTATGATAATCCCACAGAAGAAATTTTTCTGTTCTGCATGATCATCTAAAATCTACCTTCTCCAAATTCATGCATTTTTAGCATTTATGTTTTTAACTCAATACCATATACTAATGGGGGGAAAAAACCCTGAAATGTCCACAAGAAAAATTAAGGATGGGGAGAAGGAAGTAAACTTTCTTGGAGTCATTTCTGTTGGTATTCGTCACCTGGCTATATCTCATACTTTCTATTTTTTTTTTTTTTCCTGAACATAGAACTGTAAGCTGCACATGAGGGATCAGTTTTGGAGTTTTTTTGTCTTTTCTCTTACTATGACATTATATCTGCTCTTATGATTGAATTATAGGTCTCTAATTCCTTCCATGAAATTCTTGAGGCCAGGTGAACTTTGGAATTCAGACTTTAGAAAGCTAACATGGTCCATACGTCATATATTATGCAATACTCTCAGTGGAGTGTGGGGGCAATATCCCATAATCAAACATGTTAATATTTCTGAAACGGCAAAATGATTGACATTAACACTAAATGGGATAAAGGTTAATGAGTCTAGGTTTTGTAGCTGAATGATCCTTAAAAACAAACAAATCTCTTTTAGTTTTCAGAGCTTTCTGGATTTTGGAGTTGCAGATATAGATAAGGCTATGCACTTATATGATTTCTTTGTGGCTAGTTCCCTTTCTTTCAGTTCTGATTCTTTTCTTCAGTTCTGATTCTTTTCCTACGCTCTCATCTTATGTCCAATTGACTTGCTATCATCTCAAACTCAACATGCCTAAAATGAAAATTCTTTATTCTTCTTTCAAGGTATTGTTGTCAATGCTATCATGATTTCCCCATTATCAATATCCCAAGTAATGTTTTTAGCTCCCTTCTCAATTTTATCAGTATTAGTTGTTCATGGTAGTTGCTTGCAGCCTTTTCTTTATATTACCACCAACACTTTTAGAGTGATTATTACTGCATCTTAAGGTAATAGTATAGTAATATAGATTACTATTTACAAATGTGTTATGGTGTACAATTCCACCACATAATATAAAATTTCATGTTATAAAAAGTTCACAGATTTCACTACAGAAATATTTTTAGGTTACTATGATGGCTCACAAAAGCCTAATCTACCCAAACTGTGATTTATTTTAGAACCACAAAAGCTTATCAAGCTTGGCCAAATATGATCTTACTTCCAAAAAGGGTGCCCTGACAGTGGTGGGAGAAGTTTCCCTGTAGCAAGCGAGGAGGAGCACCAGATCCTGTTCTTACACTGTGATATTTTCATCTGATTCTATATATGATACTTACTATGTACATGTCCAAATAACTTCTAAAGGTAGACTTTATTTAACAAGAAAAACAAAAGATGGATCCTTCATAAAGAGCAGAGTTGGGTTCTTGAAGAAAATAGCTCCAAGGATCGTTAATGTCCAAAGGACATTATTCTAGTTAAATGGCTTTGAACCTCTGGTCTAAGGGCTTTCTAAATTGGCTTTGCAGTCACCCAGGGGTGGGTGCATATTCTTGGGTCTATGTTTGTGAGAGTGAGTGAGCAAAAAACTGGCAGAAGAAAAGCAAAGATGTACTGGAGTTACTTAAACTAAGACCAGAATGTGTAGAGAGAAGTGTTAAGATGGCATTCTGTAAAAGGATGTAACATGTATCATGATTACACAAAAACATTTCCTTTGGAAATTTCCATCGCCAATCTCACAAAATATCTGAAAAATGTCCCTTTTGGAGTCCTTTGAGGAGGAACTATAATCTTGATAAAATTAACACTCGATTGGAGGTGTTTTAGTTTATTTCACAGAGGAATTTACAACCCTGTGACTAGGACTCTTACTTCTCTTCAAGCATGTTAACAGCTTTTTCTTTTCAGCAAAATGTCACATACCACCCAAAAGAATGTCAGTGTTGTATTAGCAATTACCAGATAAAAGAGAGATGGCAGGAACTATCATCCAGTAAGCTCTTTATCATGTGCTAATAGCAGAAAACAATGAAATAGAACTTAAAACTCTTAAGAATTCATGAGCTGAGTAACAATGTCATTCTATGGCATAGTGTTTCCTGAAAGAACATTTGATTTTTATACTGTCATATACAGTTTTCCTTTTGTAGGCAGTGGGGGTACACACTTGACTTTCCCACTAGGTTTATATTAATGGCAAAGGCTACCAGCTATAACTGCATCTCAGCATTCTTAATCAACACCTGAGATTCTGATACAACCTAAAGATGGAAGTGTGCCCCTGCATTCACATCAGCTAAGACTTGATTCAACAATATTTTAAGGAATGATTTAAAAGTACTACGTAATTATTTTAAATGTCTTTTTTTTTAACTTTTTCTAAATATGAAAAAATTTTATTTATTTATTAGAATAAATAGTTGAATGCTTCTCAAACTGTACAGCCTACTATACCCCACTCCCATTCCATAGGACTCTGCCATTGTTGGTGCAGAGCTTATGATTGTAAAAATCAATGAAATCCTACAGCAGAGGACGGGAAGATGCTAAAACATTTATCTTGTTTGCAATACAAATAATATGAAACTGACATGTGAGGTCAAAGTGAATAAATATCTATATATTAGGGGAAGTGCTTTCGATGGCCTAAATTTCCTTCTTTAATGACATTACTCAGTTGGATAACATCCAACTGATAAATATCAGCAGAAGATCAAAAGCAAAAATAAAAGATGCAAAAGCTACTCATAATTGCTATATTTTTTTAAAAAGCAAAAAGAAAGCGGTTTCTTTGAAAAATTGTTTATGTTTTAGAAGACCAAATAATGTTAATACAGGATCAGAAGTCTGATTCTATCTTTGCAACAATCAATTTTTAGAAGTCTTAAAAATGATTTTTACACAGAGAAGCACTGAATAAAGGAAACAAAAACGATGTAACTGCTTAGAAACTGAAATCTATTAAATAAAGTTCCATAAATTGAGAATGAATAATTGATGAGTTATGGAAAATTTTCTCCCTTCCATCAATCTACGTTGCTGAAAATGAGGATGTTCTATTGGGTTGTCGGGAAAGCCATGATGTATTTTTCTGTTTTTCAATGCAAAAATGCGTCATGACTTTCCCGACAACCCAATATATCTGCTTGATGAGGCAGAAGACAGTATGCCAATGTCTTTTTTCTGTTTTCAATTTTTTTACTGCTTCTCATATAGGAGCAGAATTAGTACAAGGCTGTTAAAACTGCCCTAATTTTAAGTTAAGAACAAAAAGATCTGAAATTACTGCATAAGCTATCATATTATTTAATATACCAGACATGGTAATTTTTAGTACATGTAAATATCAGGTTGTTGGCAAAGTCATGATGTATTTTTCTATGTTTTTCAATGCAAAAATGTGTCATGACTTTCCCGACAACCCAATACGATATATGCATTTTCAGTTTCTCAATAAAATGAGAAGTTTTGGCTCAGGTGCCAAGATACATTAGATATCAAACTCTAACATGAGGTCTGAGAGGTTGTCGTGAGGGCATTTTAAAATAAATATCTCAGAATCTGTTAACAGAGTCATCCACGGGTTGTAATGAGTCTTGGATTGTAGCAGAATGTGTGAGTCCTTCATAGAGGACTTCTAAGAGGAAAGCAGGGCTGTGAGTCTCCCCCCGCAGTCCAAGCCTAAAGATGGGCTTCGGAGGGACCACTTGGAGAGCTTCATATGGTCAGTGGTCACTGTGCACTGACATCTGACACATGAAGTAAGAGGCATTTATCTATCAACTGCGGCATTCACAGAGAGGAGAGGTGGGGAGGGCGGGAGGGAGGGAAAGAGACAGAGAGGGAGAAGAGCAGGAAAAGCTGCACTGAATGCATACTATATCCCTACCCACAAGAAGGGCAAAACATACAGGAGTGTTTCTTTGGACAAATGCTGGTACAGAGGGAAACGACATTCTAACATAGAAGTTGGATGTACTCATTTCTAAACTGAGATTGTATGTATTACATAAAGTGACTGTAGGACTTTTTATTACCTCAGAAGGATGAACCAAAAAAGGTATGGGCAGCCTGAGTTTGCATCCTGTATCGGAACAAGTTATCCCACTGAATAAATTTTAAAAGGAAAGGGGGAGGCAAAAATTAAAGTTGATTTTTATGATTTCATCAACCCATGAGTTCTAAATTTTCAAGTATGGCTATATAGTTGAATTAACAAAGTGACCATAAATCTATAAAAAATGCATTTAAAGAGTATTATATATTGAAAGTTTCCCATTCTCTTACCCCTTTACTTCCTATGAGTTCAGTGTTTAACCACATTTGAAGTAAAAATGTCCTCAAAAGAAGGTAAGTTACTAAAGAAAAGCCCAAAGCAGCTCTGCTCTGGAGTTGTTTTGTTTACTCACCTTTGGACAAGTGATTTCGGTCTGCTGGATCATAATGAGAGCCGAGGCTATGAGCGCTCCTTGCCTCACATAGTTCACGGGGTCATTTGTCATTGGTTCTAGCAAATTAATTGCTTCCTGAAAGCATTAAAAAACAAAACAAAACGAAAACCTTAAATAAAGTTGCATAGCCGGATTTTGAAATTAGTTATGTCATTCTAAGTATTTTAGTCTAACATTGTAGTAACAGTTAATTTAAGACAAACTGGATGCAACAGTTCAGAACTGAGTATGCTTTAAGTTTCAATACAATGATGGTTCATGAAGAGGTAGCTTGTGGAACACGGATGCTCCTGTCTTGAAGTAAAAAGAGGTCAAAAAGAAAGGGAAAATAAAGTTAATGTTTCATAAGCACCTATTATTTTCAAGGTGCAGTGAGAGGTATTTTATGTTATCCTATAAAATCCTCTCAATCCTAAAAATAAAACAAAAACAAAACAACAGCAACACAAAATAATCATTTTTTTTTTTTTACAAATTTTATTGGGGAACAGTGTGTTTTTCCTGGCACCCATCAGCTCCAAGTCAAGTAGGTGTTTCAATCTAGCTGTGGAGGGCGCAGCTCTGTGGCCCATGTGGGGATCGAACCAGCAACCTTGGTGTTACGAGCCTGCGCTCTAACCACCTGAGCTAACCTGCCCCAAAATAATCTTTATAAACAAAGAAACTGAGAGTTAGAAAAGTTAAGTAACTTGTCCAAAGCCACATAAGTAGCAAACTCAGGTCAGTCTGACTACAAAGCCTGTATTAGGTACCCAACCTCCTTCAAATACTAGGGTATGGTAATGTCTTAGATGATTTTACAAAACCTAATTTAAAAAACTAAATTTTTGAAACAAACAAAAATCAAAGATAAACTCCCAAAACAAAAAGATTTTATTTGCTAATAGAATGGTAAAACAAATTAAATTAAACAGGACTAGAATTGATTTCATGGTTATACTTGACAAGATTTTCCAAAATGTTTTTCCCAATACCAGGATTTCCCAATACCACATTCTTCAGAATATCAGTGCAAGGGGGAAAAAAAAAAAGGATTCCTTGATTAAATCAGTTTGGGAGCTATTGCATATATACACAGAGGGTGCCCCAAAACATGTGTACACATTTTAAGAAAGGAAAACTGTATAAAAATTGTAATACTGAATATACACCAATAACAAAAGTTGAATACAAGTCACGTTTGACTTTTGCAATTACAAGAGGTGCCCAAAGTGGTTCCCATCAGCGTCCAGACTTCTAATCACAGCGAACTATGGCTTAAGCAATTCTGACCAAAGCACCCACTTGTATACATTTTTTTGGCACCCCCGGTACACGTATAAATTACCTCCTCTTGAAGATTCAAATATATACAGTATATCAAAGTCTATAGGAATGTACATATACTAACAAAAGCTCCAGAAAGCCTCATTAAAGAACCCGCTAGAACTTTTGTTTATCCCACCATTTGTTCATTGTATTTGACCAGGAACTCTTTTGCCCCATAAAACGTCTGTTAACAACCTTCAGAACCTTTGTTAAGTGCCACTTCATAACATCTCATAAGGTCCTTAGGTATAAACCTGAAGGAATAGGGCAAAGAGTTTACAAGATTATCGAACTTATTTCTTAAAACAGTGTCACTTCTCAAATATCCTTTGTTCCAAGGCCAAGAAAAGGAAGAATAAATTGAATTCTCTTTTTGGGAAAATGATTTTAGATTTCTCTACATGTGGATTTAGTCATGCACTGCTTAATGATTGCTTAAAGATGGGGACATGTTCCAAGAAATGCGTAGTTAGGCGACTTTGTTGTGCAAACACCATAGAATGTACTTACACAAACCTAGATGGTATATCCTACTACTGTAATTGTATTCGCTATACTTTTATATGACTGGCAATGCAGTAGGTTTGTTTATACCAGTATCACCACAAACACGTGAGTAATGCTTTGCACTCACCTGATGTTACCATGGTTACCACATCGCTAGGTTATAGGAATTTTTCAGCTCCATTATAATCTTATGGGACCGAAACACTGTTATTTCAGCACATGACTGTATTTATTTGTTTTTAAAAATCAGAGCTATTGGGGCCGGCCGAGTGGCGCATTGGTAAAGAGCTGGCTTGGGACTCCAGAGGGCCTCAGTTCGGATCCCACATGAGGGCCAGTGACACTGCCCTCTACAGCTAAGATGCTGAACAACAGCTCAACCTGGAGCTAGGCTGCCGTGAGTTGCCGGCGATGGCGTAGGCTGCAGCCCCTGCTGCAGTGGGGTGCCATGGGTTACTGTGTATAGCCAGTGGCCAGCGTGAGTGGCCAGCAGCCGCTGTGAATGGCCGTCCAGAAGCCAGCAACTGATCTGCCTCAACCGGAAGAGCGCAATGATGGTGCCAACTTGGGCCAGTGATGCAACATCCTCCACAACTAGACTGAAGAACAAAACGACAGCAACTTGTCTGTTCCCCTTCCCCCAATTCCCCAGCGCTGTTCCCATCCCCCAATAAAAATCTTTAAAAAAAAAAAATCAGAGCTATTAACAGATAATACACATACTAGATAAATGTTTTCTTTCTCCCCACTTTCACTGAAAAATGTAATGACATTGTGCAGAGGAGTAAGTTTTTCAAACATTACTCACATATTGTCAATATTGTTTATGAAATAGTCATAATAAAAATATAACCAAATTTCCCACTTATAAGTTAAAAGACACTAACTTTGCCTTTGAGGTATGTGATATAACATCCAAGATATATTTTAGAATAAAAAGATGTTCTAGGTTTTTAAGAAACCAAAATAAAGCAAACTTCAGTCAGATAGGTATTGATACATGGATCACACAAACTATCTAGAAATAAAGCAGACTTGTTTAGTATGAGTAATAAAAATATTCATTGAATTAGCTTGTCAGATGCTGTGTCTCAAAGAACATTTGCTCTGAGATATCATATTAAGTTTAGAATAATCTGGAAAGAAAAAAAATCTAATTTACATTTAACTTATGAGGCCTGACATAAATGTCTACTAAAGACCTGAGGGGGGGAAATACTTAGTAAAACATCCAACTATTGGGTTGTCGGAAAAGTCATGACGTATTTTTTTCTATGTTTTTCGTTGCAAAAATGCGTCATGACTTCTTTGACAACCCAACACGTGTTTCCTTTTTTTACAGAACATGTGTCCCAGAAAAAAGGCCCATTTCTATAAACTGCATTTTATATGCCCAATGGCATGTCTAATAAAATTGAAGATATATTCTCATGTAAAAATTTTCACCCCCAAAAAATGAAAACATTTTAAAAACAAAACTCTGTGAGGGCAGAGACCATGTCCAACTTTTTCACCACCATATCCTTAAATGATCATCCCTTCATCATACATTTGACAAATATTTACTGAAATTCTACTATGTGCCAAGTCTGACTTTAAGTTCTAGCAGTGAACACACCCTTCTCAGGAACTTCACATTTGAGTGGAGAGGAGACAGACAATAAATAAAATAGGTATAAAAATATGCCAGGTGGTGCTAAGTGCTATGAAGAAAAAAACAAAGCAGGGTAAGGAGACAGAATGAGGGATGTCTCCATAAATTTTTACACAAATCCTGCCACATGTAGTAAAAAAGGCCTATTGTAATTCATAGCTTCAATTACATTTTACGTGATTAGAAAGTTATTTGTATTCAATACTAATACCCTTTTTAGAGAAAAAGTCAAGCAAATTACAATTTAATTCCTGGAATCACTCAATAAACTAATAACTATGCTTTATTTGATTTTAGTTTGAACAGAGAAGATAAAAAAGTGACTCCTTCCCTCTGCTGTGAAGACACTGGGAACATAAACATGCTCCTGTTTCCTGTCCATCCACCCTCCCCCCACCCCTTCTGCAACCCTCCCCTCCAACACAAACACAATGCCCACTCTGTTAAAAGCAAAGCTCACCAAGGTGTGCGCATATGTGCTATAAAAGGTAAAATGTGATAGATATGCCACTGCTGTGAATCAAAAATACTTGGTATTGAAGCAATAGCATGTTTCTTTATGAATCTCTTGACAAATTGTGTCTTCAAACCATCAATTTGTCTAACTCAACTTTCTCACTTTTGAGGGCTTAACAAATATCAGGTTACCTATTAAGATTGTGAGGAGAAAACAGGCAAACAGCAGTTAAGTGATTTGCTTAAAACAACAAAACGAAACAAACTGAGTTGATGTTGGTGGCCTCAGATGAGAACCTTGATTTCCACAATACTAATTATGCAAACTAAATATGTAAAATAACTGTGTAAAATGACTAGAGTAGTTATTTAAAGAAAAAAATATCTTTTTTCCTTTGTAAAGAAATCAATGCTTTCAAAAGGGAAATGAACAGCATTGTGTCCGTAGAGCCAACCTTGTAATATGTTGGTTTGTTCGTAAGGACTCTGAGCCACCCAGCATAGTAAAGTAAGGAAGTTCTGGGAAGAAAGTTAAGTCTTACAGGTCACACCACACTTGTATTTTTACAGCTGTCACATAAACTTTCCTGTGAGGGAAAACAGTCTGGCGCCAGGCAAGGACTGACCCCCCTGGCTTGGGGCTTTACCTTGTTTCCTGTACCAGCACAGCAGATGCCCAGGGCCATGGCAGCTCCGTAACGCACGTGAGGATTGTAACTCTCTGACAAGAGCGAAACCACGCTGGGGCACTGTTCAGGGGTCCTGATGAGAAACAGAAGAGGTGAAGACAGCGTTATATGTTAACATGTTTCAAAGCAAGATGGAAGAATTTTAACCCATTTTTTAAAAGTTATGGGAAACAACAGTTATATTTAGGACAGAAATTGCAGAATTAAAAATCTACAGAATTCTAGTCATTGACATTAGAACTCTATCTTCAATATTCAGAGTATATACATATGCAAACAAAGAGGAATGTACCCGCAGCTGCTCAGCCGCAGCTCTGCACTGAAGCGTTAATTACAGTCACCCTCTTGTGCTTCCTCCACCGTGGGGCTCAACCAGGGGCCATGGGGGACGCCGCTGCTCTACAGCCAAACTTATACTTCTTGTTTACTCTGTGTTTCATTTCAGAAGACAAAAGTCATTTATAGAGATTCCAGGATGTTTCCAAAGCTGCATGAAAGACTGAACTCTCCCAGCATTACTCTGGTTGAATATTAAACTGGTAAATGAGGGCATTCTGATTTTTTTTTGTCTTTAGCAATTATTTTTGTGCTAATAAGAACAGAGAAACTGTTCTTTTCTCATTTTCTTACATTTGCGACCAAGAAAAAACCCAGGGCATCCTTGACTAATGAAATGAAGTATCTGACCTCTAACAGACTACCCTGTTATAGTGGTTACCCTCCAAGGGCAGCAGGCTGGGGAAGTAACTAGAAGGGAGTGTAAGCAGAGTTAATGGGAGGCTGGGTGCTGGTTACACAGGTGTGTTCAGCTGTGAAAATTCATCAAGCTGTAGGCTTATGACTATGAGAACATTTCTGGATGTATACTATACTTCAATAAAATATTTTTTTAAGGACTATCAATATATTACATTTCAATAAAAAAATTTTTTTTAAAGACTATCCAGTTGTGAATGAAAGCAGTTATTACCTACAGACCAATTCAAATCTATAATTCAATGCTGGAATTATACCCTAGCCTCAAACTCCAGTGAGTGGTAAATTCATATTTCAAATGGAATAGAGTCAAGTTAATCAAAGTAGAAATCTGCTATAAGGGAAGGTTGGATTATTTCCCCCTACAACAGAGTTCATTACTCTTTTTAAAAAAATGTTCTCAGTTTGACTAGGTTTCCTAATAGGAATAATTTGGAAATAATACTAATAGCAACAATATGGAAAAGCAGTTTAGCGTTGTAACAAAAGCAATATACTACCAAACAGAAGATCTGGGTTCTAGTCCTAGCTTTGCTAAATTTTTAGTACATGACATGAAGCAAGTCACATTTTCTTTTCTGTAATTAGACATAACTTTTCTTGACTATTTTGCAGAATACAGAAGACAAATGAGAAAATAACTAAAAATATGGTAAGAACACATATGCTTTGAGATAATGCATACTGAGATGAATAAGTTACATAAGAGGAAGCCATGGAGTCAAAAGCCCATGTTCAAGTTCTTGTTTTGTCTGTAAATAGCTAGGATAATTGAGACAAAGTTCATTAACCAAACACTCTGGGGTCCCTTTCCACATCTGAAAAAGGAAGGAGTGGGACTAGAAGTCCCATAAGGTCTACTCCATTTTACAATCCTATGACTTTTAAAAATGAACCAAAAGATTTCAAATCAATGTTCATTACTACTGAACATTTCTTCAATGGAAAATATTACTATGAAATTTAAAGTGATATTATACCAAAGAGACTGGAGAGTTATTCTGCAACTTGTAGTTGACGGCACCATCATTTAACTTTCATTTTTCATTCCTATTAGGCTAAGAACTTAACGCTCTGTCCATAATTTGACGTCCAAATCCTCTGACAAACTCAAGCATTTTGTCACCTAATTAATTACAAATAATACTAGTCAAGATTGCACGTCTCAAGGGCCAAGGGCTGAGACTGCCTTGTATATTTTTTATTTCCCATAAATTATTAGCACAGTGCTAGGTACTAAAGATAAAATAATTTTTATAACTTAGTAAAAGACAAAGGGAGCCGGGCCGGCCGAGTGGCGCGATGGTTAAGGACTGGCTTGGGATGCCAGAGGGCCCCGGTTCGGATCCCACATGGGGGCCAGTGATGCTGCCCTCTACAGCTAAGATGCTGAACAACAGCTCAACCTGGAGCTGGGCTGCCGTGAGTCGCCGGCGACGGTGTAGGCTGCAGCCCCTGTGGCAGTGGGTTGCCACAGGCTACCGTGTGTAGCCAGCAGCCAGCGTGAGCAGCCAGCAGCCACAGTGAGAGGCCGTCCGGAAGCCGGCGACTGATCTGCCTCACCCGGGAAGAGCGCAATGATGGTGCCAACTTGGGCCAGTGAAGCAATGTCCTCCACAACTAGACTGAAGAACAAACCGACAGCAACTTTTCTGTTTCCCCTTCCCCCAATTCCCCAGTGCTTTTCCCATCCCCCCACGTCCCCAATAAAAAAAAACCCAAAAAACAAAAAACAATATCTGGTCTACCTTATTCATGCAGAGGAGAGTTGGTGGTGTGACATAGAATACTATGCTATAATTACTGAAATCTATATCATAACCAGAAATTGCATTTGAATCAGAACCAGAAATTTGGCTACGCATATGCTATAGTTTGGGCTCTTATTTTTAAAACAGGTAAGATAACTCATGCCCAAAACTTCGTTCAAAAGAAAATAAAGCAAGTTAGATATTAAACCGAGAAAGCTGGTTACATTAAGGGTTCTGGCCTCCCGACTTCTCACCAACTTTTTATGGAGCTAATAGCACACAGAACACTTACCCACTTGCCCCTCAGCTGTAACAAGGGCAGGGTATTCCAGGGAAAACTGACTCACAGCAAAGCTTATCCTAAATGTACCTTAAAACTTCACTGATTTTATGATCCTCACTTGTTAAAAAAGTATTATACTTAGAATAGGGAATTAACAACTTCATGAGATTTAGAAAACATTTTGCCTGGGAACATAAACACTGGGAGCTTAGCGCAGAGCTTTACCTAAAGACTGAAATAGGCTGTGAAGGCTATAAATTCAAAATAACATAAAAAAATTCTTGTAGTTTCTCAGTCCAAGAACAGTTCCAACTCTGACACATTCTTCAGGAAAGTGTTAAGACAAGGAAGGACAAATTCTTTAATAAAATAGCTTAGACATTCAATCTCTTCAAGAGTACAATAAAACCATAATCTTTGTTTACTTCAATTTTTCAGCAGGCAGCTCTAAAAGGACAAAAGAATCTTTCTAAGCAATGATCGGAATGCAAACATTCGCTGAAAGCAGAACTTCGGCACATTAATCTTTATGCAGACACACACATATATATACTTATTCATATACATATATATACACACACAACACACATGTACATACATATAGTGTACGTCTATATAAAAAATTTTAAGTAACAGTTAATAAATGAATAAATGATAAAAATTATATAATCACCATTTTGCAACTTGGAATAAATTAATGGACCTTAGCATAATTATCAATGACTGTTAACATCATGAAAAGACAAACAACTAGACCTTAAATGCACTGCCAGTCCAGCCCCTTCAGAGACAGAGAAAGAAAAAGACAGAGAGAAAGAGAGAAAAAGAGAGAGAGAGAGAGAGGAGAGAAAATTTGACTCTGTATGTGACCAAGCCTCTAGACCCAACTATCAATTTACAGATATATAGAAGACCAAAAAACACGTTATGTTATACATAGGGATGCAATCAGCAAAGTCCATACTGTTGGAAACTTGACAGTAATAATGACCTGGTTTCTTCAACAAATAAACTGCAAGGAGGGGAAAAAAAGGAGGCGAGGCAAGGCAAGAGATGGAGAGAAACCTACAAATTAAAAGAAAATACCCCCAATTTTAAATTCCATTAGGCCTTCTTTCAGGCATTTTAGATAATTCTGACACTCCTTAAATCTTAGCCTTTTTATATAAACATTTATCTCTTAGATAATATCACAAAATAATTCATATAGTTTGTTATAATACCCTGGAATTAGCACTTATAACAAACATTTAAACGACTAATTCCCAATCAGCAATAAAAGCTCATCTCTATGTCTCCTTGAACCTATTCAGAAAAACAAATGTCTAGAAATGGTTATGTCACAGAAAAATAGTGGATTTTGTTTTGTTGGGTGGGGAAAGGTAGAAAGCAAGGAATTATACCCTTGGGAAACCATTTTATTAGCACAGAATGTGTTATCTATGACTTAGCCCTTTTATGTATTTATGTTTCAATATGTTGAGAATTTAAAAATATATGTACTCAATTACAGATTTGTTAGCTGCATTTGTTTTCAACAATGGAGCTACATCTTGTGGGAATTCTAGCAACTTTTCCTGCTCTCCTTTGTTTTACATTTTTGGCTAGTTTATATGTAAAAAAAAAAAAAGGGGGATATCATTAGAGGTTAAAAAGGGGTGGGGAGACATACTTTTTTGAATTTTGTTTTCATCACAATATAAAAGAGATGCATAAAATATCCATTATCAAGAAAATAATGGAAAGAAGAAAACAGTTTTGCTTCCTAAATATACTTTTGTCCCATGAAACTATATCCTAAGCTATTATTATTTGTAGCTTTTTACTTTAGCAGTTTAGTATTTACTGAATATCTACTACATGTAAAATACAAAATCACACAGATCCTGCCCTAAACTTTATAAATTTAGTTCTACCTTTAACATTTCCTTTTAAACTGGACTTTAGAAAACTAAAAATTAGTATAGTTTTAGACAGTCTTTTGGTATATTTGCAAATAGGTTAATTTCTTTCAGGTGCTGCCAAAATGGGGGGGGGGGCTTGCGATATCTCCAAGAGGTGAGAAGTAGATTCATAAGATTTATACAGATTGCTACTTCATCATAATAAGAAACATGGCTCTTAAAAATCTGATTGTATTCCTAGACCTAGAGAAATCTGTAATATTCAAAAAGTTGTAGCATTATTAGCACACACATCCCTCCCCCTTTAAATTACCAAACCAAGAAAAGCTTGCAGTATGAGTGGGTTGCCATCAACTTACAGATCATTAAAAGACTTTAT